CTGCTGATCCCACGAAGAATGGGGTAATAAATCACCCGAGCTTCTAACTGTTTTCTGAAGCCTATTTCCTTATCAGAGAGCCAGCCAATTCCTCGAGGTGCTAGATAAAACCCCTGGCGTGGGGCCAAGAGGTGGCTGGTGGTTGAGGAGCTGGACTCCCACATCCCCTTCTCAGCTGCCCTCTCCTGAGACAAAGAACATTCCCATTCACCGCACCCTGGACACACACGCTCTTCTTCCTGCTGTGTTCTGGGGTTTCCACGCTCTCACAAAGACCAAGTTTCAGAGTAATAATTCCAATAGGACATTATTTATGCTCCTTAAAAAATTGACATTTGAGCCAGCAGGTGGTATGGTGGATAAGGGCGCTGGATTCCCACATGGTTTGACCATGGTTTGAGTCCCGGACCTGGTGACTTGCTTTCTTGCTTTCCCTTTCTCTCTCTCTCTCTGTCTCTCTCTGGTCCAATTAAGAAGTACTTATAACAAATGGAATCAAATAAATAAATAATTCTTTTTAAAACATTGACATTTGACAAATGGGTGGTCGCTTAGCAGTGGCACAACTGGACTCACCTGGAGAAGTTTCTGGGTTCAAATCCCAGGTTCTCCCCATGTATGCCAGGAGCATTCATGCCCATTGATGCAGGCCAGCTGAAACGGCTCTTGGAAGATAATGTGGCATTCAAGGAGGTGCTCAGTACAGCTCTTCTTTTAAGAGAGAACCTGCTGCAGGTAGCACAGCCAGAGGAGGGCCTTAGCTGTCTCACCTGCAGCATTTGCTGTAGAGCACAGTCCCGGCCCGCTCTCCCAGGTGGCTCCCAGCTATTGGCTGTGCATGGCAGTAGGGCTGGTGATGGGCCACTCTTGACCACTACAGTCTCCTCTGACAGGCTTCTTGGCTCAGGAGGTTCCCACTGGCTTGGTCAACATTTTTGGCTGTTGCTATGCAATCTTCCTTCTCCCCCCTTCTCTTTCTGGTATCAGATCAGTCCAAAGGCTCTCCTTTGTCTTTGTTAGATATTTCCCCTAAAGAATTGCTTGTAGTTCTAATTCAGTCATGGTGTCTGTATCCCTGAGAACCTAAATGGACACAGATGCTGTAATAATTTCCACTCTCTTCGTCACAATCAACACAGATGCTTCTGTAGGTGGACTATTTATTTTGATACATGTCCGATTAGTTAAGCCTAAAGAGTTTAGATCTTTAAGTCAGAGCAGTTTGCGAGCACTTTCTTACTGTTCCTGCTCTTTTATGACTCTTTGGATTCTCAGGAAGTTCCTGGAGGAAGTTAGGAGTCAACACTGCAGATATGAGGGTCATTGTGACTCCCTCCCATCCCCATCCCAGCACACCAGCACCGTGTCATGTCAACTTGACCTCTGTGTATTTGACCGATCCTTCCTCCATTGGACACACTCTCTGCCCTATTCAGCCTGATAACTCTCCAGCAGACTGTAGTAACCTCCTGTCTGTTGTGTTCCTGGTCAATATCCAATATCTGGTATCATCTCCTGCTCCCCCCAACTCTTCTTTATTCTGCCAGTGTGATATGAAGCCCCTCATACCACACCCTTGCACATTACACACCTTCCTCGGTAGTTCCCTGCATCTACCTTCAATTTATACTCTAAGTGAAGGGCCTTCACCGGCAGGGCCCTTCCTGAATGATCCAGTTTCAGTATAACCACCTACATTTATTATCTTTCCAATATTCTTCTCCCCAACCTTGAACTTCTTGCTCAAGCAATACTAAACCTCTTAAAGTTTTCAGACTGTGTCAGGCAGAAGGTGTGGGTGTACCTTTACGAACAAATTTCAAAAATGAATAAGTCTCCTCTCTTTAATTTAATGAAATAATAATATATAGTTAAAGAAACCCCTCAGCTCCTGTTCTTGCTCTGTCTCACTAGGACTGCCCTTTGGCTTTGAAAGTCCAGACCTGATTTGTCAGCACAGCATAAAATAGATTAATCTCTTAGGACAGACTCATGTAAGCCAAATTTATGAGACTGACATGACAAATCAATGCTAGTTTATGAATTTACAATGAAACAAAAATAATCATGCTGACCAAAAGAGCAGAACATTCATGTCTCTGTGACCAGCACTTTCTCTGCCTGAAGGTAAAATTTAATGTCACATAATGAGGGGATGGCGTGATACACTTAGGGTGAGGGGAGTTTGATATGGATTTCAGATGCCTATTGGCAGCAGGTGAAGGCTCGTACCAGGGACAATTTCATCAGGGGATCAGATAACTGGGCAACTGTTGGCTACAACTCTCAGCATGTTTTGCTTTCCCAGGATGGACTCATCAGTGGGCCCGGAAGTTCCCCAAATCAGTCGGCTAAGGCTCTTTCATTTCTGACTGGTCACTGGCCAAGTTTTCACATTGTAATTCTGGTTTTCAAGGTTGTTATGACCAAACCTTCTTTGAAATGAGAAGTTCTTTTCTTGGATGTATTAATACACAGATGAGGTTAAAAATCTTCTCTTGCATATATCTTTAAAGTAAGTTGTTTTTGTTTTGTTTTTTGGTTTTTTTGTTTGTTTGTTTTTAATTTTTTTGCCTCAGTGGTTTTTATTAGCATGATTAATGCAAATTTACTATTTCAGAAATGACAGTGTTCTGACATGACTTATAAAGTTGTGGGGTTCTCACTAAACACATTTTTTTTTAAAAGCTTTTTTTTTTTTTTTTTTGTGAGAGGTTTTCACTATAGGACGCGTGCGCTCGCCAGACAGACAGAGAGAGACATAGAGACAGAAAGCGAGAAATCACCCCCCAGGGGGGATGGTCACGCCGCAATCCCTTCTCCTCCATTCTCCTCTCGGGATCTTGGGCACGCATGCACACGCGCCCGGCGTGAGTTTTAAGCCACCGGGTCCGGGATGCAAACCACAGTCGACTACGTGGGAGTCCAGCGACATAGCCATTATGCTAACTGCTGGTTCCCAAAAGCTTTTTTTTTTTAAAAGGAAAGCTATGCGAGGTGATGGATTTTCTAATTAGCTTAACTGTGATAATTATTTCAAAACATGTATCAAATTATCATACTGTATACCTTAAATATATACAATTTTAATTTTTCATCATACCTCAATAAATCTGGGAAAAATTTATTATGATTTAGATATCTCCCCAAGAACTTTATCTATGTATTATCTCAATTTTACTTGGGATTATTTATTGAGTGCCAGATATTGTACTGGGCATAGAGGATGCAAAATAGACAAGAATTCTAGTGTCGCAATAACCTGAAGCAGGATATTTGCTTGGTATTCTTTCTCTCCTTGGCTGAATACCACATAATGATATTCATGTTCTCCTTCCCTTGGGTTTAAAGTACAGAAATATACAATTAAAGTTCTATCTTGTAATCAGTGTGCAAATAGTTGAGTCAATTCTATTCTGTTTGATTTTTTTTCATGAAGTTGTTTGATGCACTAATTAAGCTTCCAGCTCATTCTTTCTCTAAGGTAAGGTCAGAGTGGCCTGATGGAAATTGGGTATGCAGGAATAAGAGAAAATAACATAAGAATCTTTAGGGTCATTCTTTCAGGTTTGTAAAACTCTACAAAATCATTCTTTTTTCCTTAAAAGTGTGAGGCAGCATGGATGGCTTGGAAATGTTCAGCAAATCTTGCTTTGCTCCTATAAAGGTCTGTTTTTCAACTATCTGTAGGCCTAGTTTTAGCAAGAGTGAAGTTCCTTGTACAAAATGCTTGGGACTGGAACTTTTTCAGATTTTGACTTTTTTTTTGGATTTTGAAGTATTTCCATATACATAAAGAGATATCTTGGGACCCAAGTCTAAACATAAAATTAACTAATGTTTCATATACACCTTATAGACATAACCCAAAGGTAATTTTGTACAATATTTTTATACTGCAGCATTCTGTGACACATAATATAAGTCAGATGTGGACTTTTTCACTCACGGCATCGTATCAAAAGTTTCAGAATTTGGAGGTTTTTTTTATTTCATATTTTCAGATTACGGATGCTCAACCTGTACAGAAATGGGACAAAGAAATGTGGTATTACCTGTTGAAGATAATTTTATTGTTTTATCAGCTGGACTAGGGAGAAATGTTCACATGTTGAAATATTCACTTTGTAAGCTAAATAATGTGATCGAATGTATAAAAGAAAATGAAATACAAAATATTAAAAAAAAAGATTTTCACTACTAGCAGTCACAGCTGTCTTTGACTTTTCTATTTTTTATTCTTTCTTAAAGGTTTGAAGTGTACTTTTAGGGTGGGCAGAAAACCCAAAATGTGCTAATCTGAAACTTTGGTTGTGTGATTCCTAGTTATTTATAGGGTAAATTCTTCATTTAATCAAGGAAGCGGGAGTTAAAACAGCACCTTGAATTTTGTCCTTAAATAGGACTCTGTTTCTCAGGCTGATGTAACAGCTCACGTAACTTCAGCATGGAGAGTTAAAATACACAGGGCAGGCTTCAGAGGTTGTTTGCTTTTTTGAGAATTTGATTTTTATCTCAAGGGCAACCAAAGACTGTGAAGTAAATTCAAGGGTTAGCAAGGCCAGGGTAGGTACTGGGATAAAACGGTGAGCAAAAAGAAGACTCTGCGCCTTCCATCGTGAAGCTTAAGGTACAATGGCAAATTTAAATACCAACTTAACAAATACAGAATTAATAAAAAATTTCAAACGAGATTGGAGCTGCTAATGGTATGGATATAGTAGGAATGTGAGCCTATACTGGAGTTTTGACATAGGGAAAGCTTGCTTGAGAAAGTGAAGATAGAATTAATTCAGAGGGGAAGGAATAAGCTTGCTAGGCTGGGAAAAATGCCCCGTGGAGGGGTGTAATTTGGCACATTCTGGAGAACTAGGGAAAAAAGGTAAGCACTTTACCTACGACTTTCTGAGACATCTAGGAGAAAGACTCGGGCCTTTTGTCCCATAGCGGCTGCCATCCGCCGCGGCTGGCGGGACTCCGTCGCAATGATTCCTGGGAGTTGTAGTCTCTCCCTGAGCTCGCAGGCATGGCGGCCTGCAGGGGCGGCGGAGCGGCGGCGATTGGCGTGGGCCGGGTGCTGCGGAGCCGCTAGGGCTCTGCTCCCTGCGCCGGCCTCGGTCGCCTGCGGTCAGTGGAGCGGGGTTTAGAGCGGGGACGTGGAGTGGGCTCAGGGCCAGGCTGGGGCAGGTTAGCTTGGAGGTCACAGGGACCCCGGCGTAGGCACTCGAGTTGGAGGAGACTGCGGGGCCGGCACGATCCGGGCGGGTTGGAGGAGACTGCGGGGCCGGAGGG